CTATATAAGCTTCAAATACATTTTTTCTCATTCTTGCAATCTTTAAGATGGTTGGACTCCAACCCCCAGAATCCCCAGCCGGCATGCTGGCTGGGGAATTCTGGGAGTTGAAGTCCACCCATCTTAAAGCTGCCGAGGTTGAGAAACACTGTTCTAGTGGCTTGCTGTGGAGGGAAACTGAGGTCAGGACAACCTGGAATGTCGGAAGCTCGAGCAATTCAATTAAACGGAGAATGGCAACGCTTTTTAGACGCAGGAAATTCAACTGGGCCAGAACGGGGGACCATTTGCATATGGTTGCCTTTGAGATTTAAGATTTAGAATAGAAAACTCACCAGAAATGGACTCCTGGTAAGGTTGGGCTGAATTGGCTGGGGGGATTTGCCTGGGAAAGGCTATTTATTTATTTATTTGTTTGTTTGTTTGATTTCTGTAGCCACCCATTTCAGCCAGCAACTCTGGGCAGCGAACAATCGTGAAAACATAAAACCATTAAAAACAGTTACAGCCAATACAAAATAAATATATATGGCTAGGCCAGTAAAAACGGGGAAGCCTCCTCCATAAAACCCCTCCGTGCTGGTGTTCAAGGGGAAGCAGCAAGAACCGCCAGGATGGTTGGCACTGAGGCGATGGACTCGTGCCCGGCTAGTGAAAGAAGCCATTGAGGGTCCCTGGGAGGAAGAAGAGTTGATGGCCCCATGAAGAATTCAGTATTTGCTACCAGCCGGACAAGCCACTCCACAGGCCATGAAAGTCCACACACCATTTTCTCTGCGGCAGCAGTTCTCCCCGTCGGAAAGGATCCTAGGACAGTAATTCGATGCTTCTGAATTATTGTGCGTGCTCACAATCCGACTTGGGTGGCTATAACAGAATTAATGGAAGATTTACTTCCTGCCGATGAAAGAGCAGCCGTTTTAGAACCAGCTCTTAAAGTAGAATGGGGAGCTGGACGTAATGCTGCCCTTGGCCGCAGGCACAGCCCGACTGGGATTAGAATCTAGAGGCAGGTTGGCCAGCTGTTTTAGAAGCCAGGGCAACTTTGTTCTCAGCCACGGAACGAGCAGGTAAGACACCCCATGAATTGGGAAAAGTGTCATGCGACCATACAAAACACAGATGAAAATCCAGATGCCTTTTTTACTCGCTTGCACGAAGGAGCCGAAGCGCAGGCACAATTAAATCCAGAAAACGAGAGGGATCGCTTCAGCGTCGGTCAGTCAATCAGCTCCAGATATCCGTCATAATTTTCAGAAGTTCTGTCCTGGACGGAGGGGTAAATCGATGAGTGAGAGTAGAGGAATTGCAGCAGAGCTGTGCAAAGGAGGAAGGACAAAGGACATCAGGAACAAAGGATGGAGAAGCAGGAAAAGGTTCCATTACTAGCATCAGCTTTCCGACAGGGGAGGGGCCGAGGGAGATTTTCGGGCAAAGGAAGAGGTTATTTCAAAGCTAAAGTTTCAGAATAATCCACAAAGGAATCCAGGGCAAGAACAGATTTATTACTTTGGTCAGCAACACAGGTACTGGAAAAGCAATTGCCCCAAGCACAAGCAATAGGAATTCCTATAAGTAGTCCTGGAGCCTCCCCTGCTGGGAAAGCAATGCACTTGCAGGGACTACAATGACATACTGTACCCCATGGACATACGGTATCCCATATACATACTGTACCCATGCTGGCTGGGGAATTATAGGAGTTGAAGTCCACACATCTTAAAGTTGTCCAGGTTGAGAAATACTGCTGTACAGTATACCAGTGCTTCCCAAACTTTTTCCTCCATTACCCCAAACCCTAACTTCGAACAGTCGCTGAACAAATGGTCGTAACTCAAGGACTAGCTGTATTATAAAAGCAATATGATTGAATGACCTTTATGTCATTTCAACAAATTACCATTGGTAATTTCATTGATTTTCATCTTAATAAGAATACTTTGGGAGATTTTCAAATATATTTTAGTGCACGTGGCAATCTTTAAGTCAATTCAAATGTCCCTGTTGTGATTGGGTAATGGGTTTGTGTGTTGTTACCCAAAGAAAAAACACTTTTATCCAATTTTGGGTAATTTACCCAGGTTTGGGAAGCATTGCTGTATAGCAATCCTTAGGTCAACGTTTCTCAACCTCAGCAACTTTAAGATGTGTGAACTTCAACTCCCAGAATGCCCCAGCTGGCTGGGGCATTCTGGGAATTGAGGTTCACACATCTTAAAGTTGCTGAGGTTGAGAAACGCTGCTTTAGGTAATGATTTAGAAAACGATCCTCAAATGTTGGCAGCCCTAACGACTGGCCCAAATGAACCGTATTTTGACATATCAGTTGGGAAAAAGAAATACAAGTGTTTAAGGATATTGGGGCTACTTGCTCCTTGTTTCAAATTCCAAATGGGGCTTCCTTGGAGGGAACTTCCAAATCATATTTAATAATTGTATTTTATGCTGTACTGTTTATGTTCTTATTGGTTTTAACTGTTTGGTTGTGAACCTCCCAGAG